TGCAGATACTAGACCCTCCAATAGTTACAGGTGGGCATGGAACACTGCTTGTACCGATATGTGTACCAGATAAACCCATGTAAACACACACACACACACACACACACACACACACACATCCATCCATCCATCAGTATATACATGGTTTGGGATGAGCAGGTCAATAGTTTTGAGAGGGAGTTTGTTCCTTTTTTTTTTTTTCCTCATTATACTCTTAAATTGTTGTCAGTTATCAAACAAACAAAAAATTGTTTTTGAAAAACCTTGCATACGCCTTTTCTATCAAGTGCTTTAAAATATAGACTAAATACACACATCCTGCCAGTTTTTTCTTACAGTGACAGTATCCGTACCTGCCATTTAATATTAGCCTCGTATTTTTCTCACGTATATTTACCTGTGACTTGTATTTGTTATTTAAACAGGAAAAAAAAACATTCAAAAAAAGAAAAATTAACTGTAGCGCTTCATTATACTATTATATTATTATTATTATTGTGACATTTTGGAATACTGTGAAGTTTTATCTCTTGCATATACTTTATACGGAAGTATTACGCCTTAAAAATACGAAAATAAATTTTACAAGGTTTCTGTTTTGTGTGGAAGAGTAATTGATGTTGCTAAGAATGATGTTTGTTTTTTGGGGTTTTTGTTGTTTTTTTTTTTAAATGTTACCAGCACTTTTTTTGTAAGTTTCACTTTCCGAGGTATTGTACAAGTTCACACTGTTTGTGAAGTTTGAATATGAAGGAATAATTAAAAAAAAATCTCTTGGTTTCTTATTGTGTCTTCTTTATATTATGGCAGTTTTTCTGTTTTAGGCAATTCTCCACATTCTTTCATACATTGTGGTCTAGGTCTAGTCTGAGATTATCTAAAATGAGAGCCATGCCTAAAAGGCAAGAAAAACGTTCAATATATCAGTCCTCTTGGTACAAGAAATAGGAATTCCACGATTGGTAATGTTGAGGTCACTTCAGGGAAATATAAGACAAATTTGGACATTGTCCTTCTCCTGTCCAAACCTCACAGATGATCACATGGCTCATTTACTGCTATCTAAATCATTCATCATTTTTTTTCTTCCTCACATGCAAATCAGTATCTATATGCTTCTTGTGGAAATAACCAATCCCGTATAACACTATGCGCATCTATTCTTGTATCTTTGTATCCGAGGAAGGTACATGGCTCAAAATAGGGCCCCATTTCATGCCTTTGGAGACTTCTAAGGGACCCCTATTTACAACATAGACCCTTTCTTATATGCGACTATTCCCGTAAGGACTCTCGAACCTCATCATTCTCACAGAAATTGCTAGTGTGATGAAGAAGACTTACATCTCATTTGTCCCTGGTGAAGTCAACCCAACTGAATTAGATTTGCTAAGTCTTCAGTAAGCATCTATATTTCACTCAACATTATGCAATGTATGAAGGGAATGGAGCAAATTATTTCAGCCCTGGAAAGCCTTAAAATCTAACAACTAGACATAAAGATTCGTATAAATAAAATCACAAGCTAGATTGTACCATTCAAATTCTCATGGTCATGGGAGTTTATAAACTAACAAAGATTTATGAGCTGGGTAAATCAAGGAAGGGTCCAAGAAATAAACAGTCTAGTTTGGGGACTCAAGGACATACAGGCTTTGGGTTGGAGATGGTGAGCACAGACAAACATTTTCACCAGTGTGAGGAACACAGAGATACCTAGGCCTGAGCTTGGGGTGGGGAGGGTCTGAAGGAGAACTCTGGGTTGCAAGGTGACCTCTGTGAATTTAAATATTGACTTCTTGCAGCTCAGTCACTGAACCCCTAAGTTCACCTGGCATTCTAGGAAGTAAAGAGGAAGAAGACATTTTTATGATGCGTGATCTGTCCCTATTTGATTTCTGCAAACCTTAGTGACATCTTTGTGATGCCCTCCAACTTCACCCAGAGTCTTTGATCTCTCTGGGCATCATCCCCAAGCTCTTGAGGCCTCTGCCTATTGAAATATTGTGGTGTGGTTTATATACAGGGTATAATAATAGTAAGTGGCACATGAGCTGTTCATATGGTACTTACCAGTTTATAAAGTTCTCCTTCATTTACTTTATCCATCCTCACAATTACCCTGTCAAACATTGTGAAGTAGTTATTGTTACACCAGTTTATAGAAACAGAGGTTCAGAAGGATGTGTTTTTCCCAATCTACAACAATAAACTAGTGCTTGAAGTCAAGTTTTCTGAAATCCAGTGATATGTATATGATGCCAGTATTTCTCAACCTTGAGTAATGTGTATACCCTTACAAAGGGAAAAAAAAAAAAACTTCTCACAGACCCTCCTCCCCCCACATAGGAAAGATCTGTAATTATTTTTATTATGATGTTTAGAAATAATGTACAATGAGTTTTATTATAATCTTTCTTAAATAAGCTCAAACATAAAACCAGGTAAACCTATTGTTTTTACAGCTCTTACAGAATTATAAAATAAAAATAAGTAAAAGCCGTCCGGCCGAGTGGCTCAGTTGGTTAAGAGTTGGCCTAAGAGTGCAAGCTCTGAGCAACAGGGCCACTGGTTTGATTCCCACATAGGCCAGTGACGCTGTGCCCAAGCTGAGCTGGCACTGAGCCGCCAACAGGTGGTAGGATGGCTCACCTGGTGTAACAACAAGATTGCCTGTTCAATAGTGGACTACGCCCACCTGCAACTAGGACTGAACTTGGCACCTTGAGCTGAGCTGCCGCCAGGGATGGCTCAGTGGATAGAGCATGCACTCTTAACAACAAGGCTATTGGTTTGACTCCCGCATGGGATGGTGGCTATGCCCACCCGCAACTGAGATTGAACACAGCACCTTGAGCTTAGAGGCCACGAGCTGCTGACGGGAAGCCAGATGGCGACTGGCAATCTTCACAATGAAGGTTAAAGAACAACTTGGCTGGTCCCCTTCCCCAATTCTCCAACACTGTTCCCCTCCTCCGATTCCCCAATAAAATCTTTAAAAAAATAAAAATAAATAAATAAGTAAAAGCAAATTTTAAAACATTAAAAATGCAAGTAAAAAGTACAAGTAAATCTATGAAATTAATAGGTGAAATAACAACATTAATTTAATATACTGGATGATGCTTTGCTGACTCTCAGTCACTGCCCATGAGGTGTACTGCCTGCTCCAGCAGGCGACTTTCTGAGGGTAGCACCCCTGCTCTGCGGTGTGCAAAGTGAAGACAGTTCTCCCACCATTTGTCTGGTATTTCAACTACTGTGAAACCTTTCACTACTCTGCCCACCTGGAACAGATGAATCATTTATGAATTCAGCCCCCCTGTCTTGAAATCAACTTAATTATAAGCACAACTATGGAGACTGAAGACAATGACAGCTCTGTTAGAAGAAGGTCATCTCTACAGATGTTACGTATTGAAAGGGCCACTGCCAGGAAGAAACATGGCCTATACACACACCTCTCTGTGGTTTCTTCATATGCAAGGCAATTACTAAAACTGTGATCGCTAATATACTAGCCACTGCTCACATGTCACTATTTACGTTATAGTTAATTAAAATTACATAAAATTTAAAATTCAGTTTCTTAGTCACATTAGTCACTTTGCAGGTGCTCAAGAACCACATGTAGCTAGTGGCTGCCATATTGGATGGTGCAGACACAGACCATTTCCATCATCACAGGAAGTTCTGTTGGATGGTGTAAGCCCTAGACTCTCTAATTAATTCTCTGACACATCAAAGTACATGGTTCAGACTTTTAGAAAGCTCCAGCTCTTGCACACATAAGGCTCTCCTGGGCCTCTTGACAGGTGTGCTGTGGGGTAGAGGTGGGGATTGCTAGCTACAGCCTTGAAGCAGGACTAGGTAAAACCAGAAGACTGAACAAAACTCACACCCCACAGCGAGCAGCCACAGCCTGCTGCTGATCCCTCCTCGTTGTGGGGTAGGGCACGCCCAGCAGAACGCCGCCATCCCTGTGCAGCACACCCAACTGCCCTGCCCGTCCAGCTCACTACTGATGGAACCTGTGAGAACCTGAGTGTGTGACGACTCATTTCTAGGGACTCAGTGGGTAAGAAGGGACAAGTCATGAAATAAAATTGCATGGGAAGGTCCTGTCCACTCATAAAGATTACCTCAAACTCCATGACTCAAAATTTCTCATATTTGTTCACCACAATTCTTTGGATTATAGCTCAGACTCTACATGCCCAGGCTTACAGTGTGAAGTGATAAGGGGTAGGGAATTAGTAAATTTACTTCTCCCTGAACGCTTATTCAGTGATTCATTTATTCCCTTCTCCTCCTGGCAGTGAATCCAAAGGGGTTCCAAAAAAATGTACAGTGTTTTTCTGTCTGCACTTAGTGGTTCCCTGCCTCAATCTCCCGTGTGATTCTTTCCTATATATATTTTTTGAAAGATATTATAAGAGGGAAAAGCCTTTTCAAACCCTATTTTGAATGAGAGAGAAACAGAAGCCACCAGTCAGAGATGGACACCCTCCCCAGGCAACAGCTTGGCTTAGGCTTAGAGTCAAGAGTTGCATGGCCCAATAAAAATATAATGGGAGTCACACAGGCAATTTTATTTTTCTTCTTTTTTTTTCATTTTTATTATTCAGGTGTACAAAACAATGCAATAGTTATCCTTTTTACCCCCCCACAAAGTGCCAAACCCCCTCCCCCATCCACTGCCCCTCCACCTCCGATATCATACTTATCTATTACAATTCCATTGACTCCATTCCCACACTATACTCCATATCCCATAACTATATATGTATTAAATTATAGTTGACATATAATATTATTCAACAGCAGCTTCAGATGTATAGTGCAGTAGGCAGGCCTCTACACCATCTATGAAGTGGTCTTCCTAACAAGACATGAGTTCATCTGGCCCCCTAAAAATATTTACAACATTATTGATTATATTCCCCAGACTGTCCGTTCTATCCCTGAGGCCATATTGTAGTTACCGATTTATGTTGTCTCGTTCCTTCCCCTTCTCCTTCATTCCCACCCCCTCCCAACTAGCAACCCTCAGTTTTTCCTCCACACAGGCAATTTTAGATTATCCGGTGGTCTCACTAGGAGAGTAAAAAGAAACAGGTGAAATTAATTGTAATAATATATTTCATTTAATTCAGTATATTCAAAATATCATTTCGACATGTAATCAATATTTTTAAGTTACTAATGTGATAGTTTACATTCTTATTATTCATACTATGTCTTCAAAACCTGATGTGTATCTTATACTTCCAGCACAACACACCTCAGTTCGGACTAACCACGTGCTCAATGGCTTATGCAGAGAGTGGCTGCTGCACAGGACTGTGTACGTTCCCGGGAATCTGGTTTTTACAGGATTGTCTCCTTTGGTTCTCTAAGGAAAATCTAGTTCATTGAATTCCATTTAAAAATTTATGTTGAATTCAATCTCATTTTAGTAACCTGACCCATTTGCAAAATCTGTGGGTCCTTTTGTATTTTTATCACCATCCAAATGGTATTTGTAAATGTTTCCCAGTTACCATAATCATGTTAAATAACACTGACTCTCCGTCTACCTCAGCCCAATATACATCGTCATCAACTCAAAACACCACTCCCTTTTTCTCGTTATATCTTAGCTCATTTCCCATTCTGTGTTCTACTCCCAACCAATTTGCACTCATTTTGTAAGAAAAATGCTGTGAACTGCTGTGGCAAATAACAGCATTTTACATGGATTCCCTTTCTTCAGGAAAACTTGGCACTCTGGACAGATTTCAGCTCATTGCTCTTAACTACCTACAGGTTTGGTAGAAAAGAGAGAAACATGAAAATCCAAGGGGAAGTATGAGTCAAATTGCCTTTTTGCTCAACCAGCCTAATTCTTAGGGAGCAGGGCAATGTTTTGCTTTAACGGTTGGCGAGAGACAGTCTTGCTTCACGTTTTCTCTCAGTTCCTATGCCCGTGGGGAGGACTCCTCATTCCTCTAAGAGCGAAGGTGGGAGGATAAGAACCTAAATGTCACTTAAACAGAAATGAGCAGCTCAGATGCCACCCTAACCCCAACAATAAGAAATCAGGGCTGAACTTAAGGGGTCAGGGAAGCTAGTTTGAGGGTGTACAATTGTTTAAAACCCTCTATCACCCTCTTTTTATTTGCTTTTTAGGAAGAAGCCCTATTTTTAAAATTTAGGTTTTACTTTTAGTGGGAAACAGATTCTTTATTCAAAGTGCTGGATTGATAGAAAATCGGTCGGTCACGGCCCAAGGGCTAAGATGCAGGCCCCACACATACACCATTTCTGTGGCTTACCCCACACATGGCTGGAAGAACCTAGAATCCTCTCTATCAGGCCATCACTGGGTCCCGAGACTATCCAACAAAAGACTTGAAACACCTGCCCAGAGAATAAAACCTGAAGTCTTATGGGTGCCCTTGGTACCCGCATCTTCCTTGTGGGGATTTCACTCCCAGTGTTAGTTTCTACGAGTTCCCTGGGCAAGGCTCCAGTTCTCACCAGACCAGCCTCACTGTTCCCTGCACCTCCCAGGCCACTTCACTACAGATAAGCCTGTTCGGACCGCCTCACACGGAACTGACCTCCCTTCCCAAACATGTCCCATGTCCTCATCTCTGTACTAACTTTCCGTGTCAATGCTGTCTCCCCACCTCACTGTAAGTTCTTAAAAGACTGAGACTGGAGACCACGGTTTAGTCATCCTCACATCTCCCTGCAGAAGCTGGTGTCATGCCTTATTCATAGAATGCCCTGACGGTGTGGATGTTGATGAAAATGGCAATGAGAAACAAGATGAGTGCAGCTCTGCTGTCACACCATCACCACCAGCCACCACACAACCAAGTAGCCCGAACCCTCTGCCCAGTGCTGTGAGGAGGAATGCATTGCTCACAGCCACAGAAGCGGCTCAACAGCCAGTTTGAAAACAGGTCAAGTTTTTTCTTCACACTGCATTCGTCGTCAAGACCCAAGCTGCTCAGCCTGGGTTTGCCACAATGGAATGGTACAGGAGACACAGACAGAGAAGGGGATGACATTCATTCACTCAACCGAAACACACACACACACACACACACACACACACACACACACAGCAGTGATGGACACTGCAGATGCTTATCCACCCATGTGTAATAGCGAAGGCAGGCTGTGTCTCCCCAAAGATGCCCCTGGGAGCTAACTAGTCTCTGCCAGGAAGCTGAAGCTCCCCAGGCTTCTGTAACTCAGGACGTTGAAGTAGTCGTGGGGCTCATCACAGTCATCTCCCCTCTGCTCTCTGCAGAGGCCGGCAGGCACAGCTTCTGCCTGGACACAGCTTCCATGGGGTGACAGAACGCGGGGACCCCATTCCTCCTGCTCCAATGGCGTTCTCCTGAGGCCACTGTCCACAGAGCGGATTCTGAGAAATTTCTTCTAAAAACAAATTACAAAGTGAGTATGGAGGGATGTTGTTCAAAAGTTACTCCCCAACGTGCTACAGAATTATAATGATCGCTCTCTTCCTTTCTCACACACACACACACGCGCGCGCGCACACACACGCATACACACACACACACACAGAGAAGCAAAGTTCTGTTCTTACCAACAGCAATTCCTTAACCCTTAATTTCTCAATCGCATCACAGCTAGATGTCAGTACTAACCACTCCACTGAAAGGACACTTGCTACACATGCGATGTGCCCGTACTTCATTCTTTCTAGCAGCTGAGCCTAGCGCAGCAGCTTCCGCTCCTCCCTCACTCCTCACTGCACCTGGCGCTGTTGACCTCTTCCTTTCCTAAACTTTCTCCTTCCCCAGCATCCACGGTGTCACTCTCTCCTGGTCCTCCTCCTCCTCCTGTGAACGAACCCTCACCTTCATTTTCAGCAAGCCCTGCTCTTTTTTTTCCTGCTTACACGTCAGCTCCCCAAATAAAGGAGTTTCCCAGGGTTCTGTCATCTGCTTTCTCACGTTCCACACTCTCTCTGAGTCACTTCATCTAAATGCACATCAACAACCACCCTCTTTTCTCTGCTCTGAGCTCCAGACCCAGACGTGCTCCTGCGAACTGGGCATCGCCACCTGCTGACCCACAGCAAGCTGAGACACAACCTGTCTCAGAGGAACCCATCAGACTGTCCCTGCGCCCACAGTCTCTGTCCTGGTTTATCACACCAGAAATCTGGAGGCCAATGTTAAACTCCAATTAGCCAAAAATTCCCATCCAACTTTACTCCTCGGTAGCTCTGAAATTGATCCCCTCTTTTCCACCCCTACTTCCATGTCTTATCTCTCATCTGTACCTCCAGACTCACCTGCCTCTGGAGCCCCTTCCCTCTAATCCCACTTCCACATGGCCACCAGCAGAGTGACCTTGCAAAAGGCAAGTTGGAGCAGGCCGTGCTTTCACCACACCCCCTCCGATGGCTCCCATTGTCTATAGGGGCCACAGGAGGACTTGAGGGGATTTGTAAAACTGCTTATATGACATAAAAAACATTCCGTGAGGGTGCATTCTTCTGGGGGTGAAGTCCATAATTTAACTGCATTCCCCACAGGAAACTGTGCGGGATGCCCCCAAAACGCCCTTGGTGACTTGGCCACACGCACCTTGCCAGCTCCATGTCCTGCAGCGCTTCGCCAACCAACATTCCCACCTGTGGGAGAGGGCCTGAGGGTGGAAAGCTCCCTTTTCTTGAGAACCTGTTATGAGCACAGACTGGGCTAGCCTCTCATGTCATCTCAGCAACACCCCTATTGAAGTTTCCACTTTTGAGTGAGCTAACAGGCACAGACAGGTGCAGTCATTTGCCTAAGGACAAATAAAATTCTGACTTGGGTTCGTTCGTCTGACTTCAGGCCATGCTCTTTGTCCTCAGCCAAGCTGCCTCTCATCTTACCACTTCTAGAATGCCAGGCAGTTTCCTGCCTGCCCAGCTTTGTATATGTTGCACCCATTGTCCATTTCCTGTAGCTCCCTGAAAAAGCTGTCTACTGAGTCCTCCAGACTCAGCTCCCGAGTGTGCTGTCCAAGAAGCCTTCTCTTCCTGGGAAGCCACATTTTTCCCATGTGCCAGAATATGACCCTGGACATTCTCTGTTGTAGCACTGAATGCTTCTAGAATGTACTTGTTTACCCTCCATCTTCTCGAACCTGTGAGCTCCCTGAAGGAAGGGCCTGTGCTGTGTCCCTCTTTGTAATCTCAGAGCCCATAACAGATGCTCAATGTATGTCTTAGGACTGAAATGTGCACACACACACACACACACACACACACACACACACACACACACACCCTTCTACAGCCCCATACCTAAAGACCAGATTTTCCAAATCAAAGTAGGGACTCATGGTCAGACAACTACAATTGCATTTGTGAGACAATAATAGGCCAGAACAGTGAAACCTGTTTGGGAAAATCAAGGATGTGAAGTCAGCCATCACATCCACATGAGAGCATCATAGGTGAGGGCTGTGCAAAGGCAAGGAAATTAAAAAAAACCCAGCAGGCACACACAGGATGGCAGGAGAAATGCTTAACATCGCCCAGTGCAAAGATGACAGCCTCTCAGCCTTCCCGGATGCTGCTCTAAAGCAGGTGGCTCACCCCCACTATAGGTCAGAATGACAGAATTACACAGAGCCACATGCAGGCTTGGAAAATAACAGCAAACCAACTAAATTGCATTCTGCTCTCCTTAACCCCCGGCTCCCTCTCAAGCACCATTATTGGCTAGCCTCAAGCTCAGCAGTGCATAAATATACGCAGGGGACTTGAGAGGGAGGGTGGATGGGGCCTCATAGATGTACACCGTGAGCAAATGTGAAAAATCAGGGTGACGCCACAAATGCAGGCCCTAAGAAGATGGGCCTGCAGAGAGGCCATAGCCTCAGAAGCACACACATGAATCAGGTAGTATCCCCACCCCCATGTCCGCACTATTTCATTCGTTCCTTTTCAGTAGAAGTGGCTGCACCTTATCTACCATAAGTATGAAGAAAAGAGGTGATTATCATAGGTCATGCTGATGCTATGCTCAAAAGAAGTTCGACATCCCTTGTCACAACCCAATCCATTCCTAAAATATGTATACCCAATTCATTCTCAAAGCACTGATGTGACCTTTTGTGCTGATGTGTTCTTGTCCCCACTCGTAAGTCTAGCCACCCTTGCCTTTGAGTCTTAGGACTCCCTTGGCTTCCAAAAGTCCTCTGGGAAATGTAATATGCCTGAGTTGGGTCACTCAGCTGTCCCGTTTGCATTCCACCCTGCACGGAAGACTCTGTAATTGTAATCAGTGTGAAAAACAAGTCTGGGATTCGTGCACTGCTGGGATAAACAATGCCCTCTTGAAGAGTCTGAGGAGCATCGATAGTGGGGTTCACAGCCATTGTCCTGGAGCTGGACAGCCCCTCTCTCCTTTACCTCACAGATCCCCTGGGGGGCACTTCTGCCAGTAGCTGCTTAGCAAATAATATTCATGCTTTTAGCCATGATCAATCCATGCAATATAAATATTTATTGAACACCAAGTATTATACAGTGCTATGATAAATAAAATTTATAATAAGAACATATTTATAAGAATAATCATTATCAATGCATGCCAGGAAAAGTGCCAAGTGGCTTACTTGAATTATTTGACGTACGTTTTCCCACAACCTTATGAGGGCAGCACCATAATTTTTCCCAATTTGCAGATAAGGGCGGGGAGGCTCAGCAAGGCCAGGTGACATAGCTACTCAAGAGGCAGGCCAGGATCCAAGCCTAGTCTTATTCCAAAGGCCATGCTCCTAAACACTTCAATCCACTCACTCTTGGGGTCTGTAGGAATGCTGTTGGTGCCCTGCTCATATCCTCTCTACCTGACCAGTGCTCCCATCCCCTAGACCCTGGCAGCATAGGCTGTGAGCAGCTCACAGCTGAGCGAGCCGTTCTCTGGAGAAATTTTCTTGGGCCCTCCTTGGTGAGCAGCCAGCAGTCAATGACTGACTGAGGTGGGTTTTTTAAATGGTCAGCTCCTTGTCCTCAGGTGCAATTCTTGCTTCTGCATACAATTCTTGCTTCAACCAAGTCTCCAGCTGAGACCACAACCCACTGAGTTTTCTTCCCTTAGCCCTATCCTGCTTCCTTCAATACCCTTCATCTGAGAGGCTGTGCCAGTAAATCCTGTCATGGGAATTCACATGTCAGTCTCTATTTCCAGCAACCTGATTTACAACAGTTGCTCCTGGGAGTGGCCCTAGAAGGGATGTCGAAGGAAAGCCCTCACCAGCTGGATGGGAATACAGACCCTACCATGGAGGGTGAAATGGGACGGGACACAGATGGAAGGGGATTATGAGCTGATGCAACAACTCTGACACCCAGAAGTAGGGGGTGATTATTAAGACTGTGGGACTGGGCGACTTGCTAAATTCCCCTGGGGCACTGAAGAGAAAAAGTTGCTGACAGATCTATCAGCAACTGAAAGCAAAAAGCGTGAGAGTCAAAGGTCTTCCTTGGCAACATTTAAAGAAGCACTTCAGCACTGAAGGCCAGACACAGGACCTCACTGTAAGGGACACGCAGCTTCAAAGAAGGCTGGGGCGAGTCTCCTATACCAGGGTCTTGACAGGAAAAGAGGGGTCTCTGATCTTCCTTTATTTCTCATCCGACAGAAGTGCTGGGTAGCCCTGCACTACTGAAGGATTGTTAAAATCCGGTGAGCTAATTTACAAAAGTCCCTAGCACAGAGTAGATGCCCAAGAGGCAGCAAACTCCCAGGGGAGTGGCTTAAGGGACAGGCACGAAGTAGGAATTGTAGGTGACAGCAGGAGGGGAAAGAGACAGGTCCAACTTTCAGGAGCTCCCAGACAAGGAAGGGACAGAAAAAGAGCATGAACAACTTCACGAAAAAGCAGAACAAGGACCATGAAAAAGGCACAAAGAGCATTGGGTCTCTCTCTGGACAGAAAGAGGACCTGGAAGGACCCGGGGGGCAGGAGTAGGGTGCCCGTGACTGAGGGGGCATCCGGAGCTGTTACCTTTCTGGCATACGCAACCACTGCGATGGCTGCCACGCAGAGGACCGCCAGCACGGAGACTCCAAGCAATGCGATCTGAAAGCCAGGGCTGTGCTCAGACGCTGGAGGGGGGACAAAAGATAGGGAAGATAGGGAGTGGGCTGAGGCCAAAAGCAAG